ATGTTTACCACATTCAAATACCTTTTTCTTTTTTCTTTTTTTTTAACGCTGGGGAATCCATTTACGGATACCCGGTCAAGGGGGTAAGAGACCGGGTTATGTCGGACTCCGGCGCCTCCAGAGAAGAAGAGGGAGAAGAAGAAGACAGGGGTCCTCCTCTTCTTCCAATTCCTGCCGGAAGACTACGCCTTGAGAAAGGCGCGCGAGGCACTGCACGGCGTCAGCCACGCAAGAGCTACCCCGCAAAACCGACTATCGACTACCGCACAGTGCGCGCCGAAGGCTCGCCGCCGCCGGTACCCGTCCTGATATTAAGACGGGATTCCATCCCCGGGAAAATCCCGCAGAGCGTCGTCTCGGAGACACACCGTACCACATTCAAATACCTAGCTGATGAATTTTTTTTCATGATATTTTTTCCAAATTTTATACTTTAAATGGCTCTGCTCTAATAATGCAAAATGTCGCTTAAGCCCAATAAGCCTTTCACCCGTTGACATATTTTTTATATTCAACCTAAATGATATTACTTTGTGGGCAATAGGTACATTTAATTTTTAATTAATTAAGATTAATAATTTTTTTAATTTTTTTTCATTACATTCAATGATAGTGCTCAAGTTTATAGTTACAGCTGTACACCTGTTGACAATTAGTCCCCTGGGCGGCTCTACGTTAGCAATCCTGGGTACAACGAAAAACCGCCTCCTGGGGTCTATCACTTCTGTCTGTCTGTCACTTCTACTTAATTTTATAGCGTTTAAGAAACCCCGAGAAGTGGAGTTTTTTCAAAAGCCGGATGATAATTCCAAACATAACGCTTTTGAATTCCCTGTGGATGAATACAGCGATTCTAGATAGCAGGGGTCAAATCTGCTCCTGTAGCAGGTGGGACGCTAGTTAAAGAATATAAAGGGCTACTTCCCATAAATCAGGGCACAAAACACATATCGCCGGCCTCTATATACACTCTAAACTTGCATAAACATCTAAACACTCTTTAGTATTTTTGTTGTTAATAAGTATTATCGGTACCTTAAAAGCGTCACAAACAACACCACACTTTTATAACGTATTTTAAATAAACATTCGCTACCATGTTTAAAAGCTATTAAACTTATTGCAATCAACACATCAACTGACGAGCGAAAGAGACAAATGTATATTACATCTCACTCCCGGGCGGAGCTTACGCGTAACTTCGACCAAGTATTTAGGGCCCTGTATGTGAGGTCCCGATGGTAATTTATTAAACGGGCCCCACAGATACAGCCTCTCAAAAATAACGTTCGAGAAACAGCAATATGAATTATTAAGACGAGTTGTGTTTTAGGGTTCCTTATTTTAAACGTGTGATTTTTATAGAAAAAAAGTAAATTATGACTTCATCACTCGTTTATTTTCAACAACTTCCCGTGATTCGTTAACGAGTATCGAAATTCGGATGTGGCGGTAACAACCTTCGAATAGTTAAAAATGCACACAGAAATAGCACACAACAGGCCTAGTAAATAGATTGTTTAACTTGAGTTTCATCTTTATGATTCAGTCTCATTATAATTAAATAATGCTGTCTCCTACTTGCGTAACTTGAAGAAAAATCCTATTACAAGCTACTAATGGATGTGCTGGCATCTGCCGGCGAATAGAAAAAAACCTATCTTCATAAATTCTTAAAAACTATTAGAAATACTCATTGAAAAAAATTGCCTGCGGGATTTGAACACCGGCATAGCACATCAGGCGCCTTATACTTTAGGCCACGACCACTTTTTTTTTAAAGGCCTTGTAGGCAGACGAGCATACGGCCCACCTGATGGTGAGTGGTTACCGTCGCCCATGGACTTCAGCAATGCCAGGGGCAGAGCCAAGCCGCTGCCTACCGGTTAATACTCTCCACGAGCCTCGTTTGAAGAAGGACATGTCATAGCGCTCGGGAAACACCATGGAGGGGAGCTCATTCCATAGCCGGATGGTACGTGGCAAAAAAGATCTCTGGAAACGCACTGTGGATGATCGCAGTGGCTCCAGGTAGTATGGAGTACTGTATATTGTAGTATTGTATGGTAGTATTGTATTAAAAACAAAAAACAAATTTACAAATAGTACTAGGTACCTACTCTTCGTATTGAAAGAACCCGGTTAGGTAAATCTAGCAACTGTGTTTCGTTTACCCATTCTTGTAAATTTTCACAGTTATTAAGCAGTTAAAAGGCCATGTTAACTATGATTGCGCGCTTAAATCTCAAGAAGCATTAAATTAACAAAATAAAACAACTCACTTCACTCATCGTATTCCCGCCAATCTTTTACTTCTTACAGATTTAAATTTAAAAATTTAAGGCTGGTAGTGCATGAATATGTATGTAGTGGATATGATAAATTGCATTGAAGGTAAAAGAAGCTAAGGCCTACCGTTAGTTAGACACTGGCAATACCAAGCCTGTGCCCACCATTCAGAATTTATTTTCTGTGACTGATAGTGCTGATACTACAGAACCCACTATTAATAAGCACCGATGCACTCGCTTCAACACTTTTTCCATCATACTTCTAAAAGACGTAACGGTGTGAATTCATGCTAATTAAGATATCCGAAACTTCCATTACACATACTGATGAGTGATCTCATTTTTTAGATTTATAAACACGATTTTATTCATCCAACTTTCACCGTATTAGGCAAACGTATCATTATTGTTCGTGCACTTGAATGTGTTTTTGTTTCGGTACTGTATTTTTATTACTTTATCGTGATTTTTTTTAAAACAGTATACTTGTGTTATTTGATTTCTTGAAAGCGTCGAGAAATTGATGTCACAATGCGCGCAGTATGGGGGTCTCCGAAATAATTCGTGTTTTCCAAGACAATGTAGCACATGCTTTGTAGGTATTTTTCCTACCTACACTGAGCTGGTAGGCTAGCTCACGGAACTCAGCCGGACTTGCATTGAGAATATTTAGCGAGAAACTCAATGGGTTTTTTTATTGAGTCAGATGGAAGCATGAGGCATTGTTTATAATATAAGGCATTGTTTGGTAGGCAGCGGCTTGGCTCCGCCCCTGGCATTGCTGAAGTCCATAGGCGACGGTAACCACTCACCATCAGGTGGGCCGTATGCTCGTCTGCCTACAAGGGCAATAAAAAAAATAAAAAAATACCTATTTGGCTGATAATTCACGTTTTAATGTTTTATTTATTTATTGTGCAGATGGGTGAATGAACTCATGGGACGTTCGATCCGTAGTGGTACCGGAGGCCGTAGACATCGCAACGTAAATATCGCCACCCAGCCTGAGCCATGAGGTCATGTATGACAGCTCTCAGACCGTTCAAATCGATTCTAGACTGCATTGCGGCAGACAAGATGGCGGTGCCTACTCGTGTAGGCTGACAATACGCCCTACCACTAGTCAATACCGGTTAACGATCGCATTATTCAAAGAACGATGAAGTCTATTCTCTGGCAAGTCCCTTAGTCGCCTATTATTATATTGGCTAGAAGAGATTGAAAAGTGCCATTCTAGGCCACTGCAGGACTATGGTTCGATAACGTTATGGGAGATACTAACCCTTTTTGTAATTATTATAATATATGGATACATGATCAACAAGTGTATTCGAAAACGTTCGTAACATGTGTACTTGTGCGGTCACCAAATAGGAATAGCATCGTATCACGAAAATATTACGCGAGTGTTGAGTGATTCATCTTCGAGTCGTTAGAGACATCACAGCGACATTGCAGTCCTCGTGAGTCATCAAAATGTCTATTAAACGGCTTGTTGGCCGCTTAGTGCTTTTAAAAGTGGACAAGCAGGGAAACTGAACAAAGATCATGACATAATATGCTTTCATATTCAGTTTCAGTTTTCGGTTAATTTCAAAAAGTCTATGGTTTGGTAATTTTTATTATTTACCAGAATACCTATTCTCGGTTTGAGATTACTAGAATGAAAATTATGAATGGCCATTAAATAATGAAATAAAAACTAGAAAAATACAATCAGAAACTGTTACAATGGTTTTGCTAAATCATATAATAACAACTTTGCATTATTTAGATATAAACACGTTATAATGTAGACTTTTTTTTCCAATGTAAAACTTTTAGCAACGTAAAACTTAGTACCTACGTCGTATTTCGGATTCTTGCAAGAAATTCATTGAAGTGTCTGTAAATTCCTACTTTAACATTTCATCAATTCATTTCATCAATTACGCTTAAGCAAGTTCATAAATACATTCCATTTACATACTTTTTTTATTATGCGCGTTTTATGTATTGTAAACTTTTCTGAATAGTGTTCTTCTTCTCAGTCGCATGCACTCTTGGCAGAGTGGTCGTGGTCATCACTTCGGGTGGTGGTGCGCTTCACCAGACGTCACCATTCCTCGCGTACCGCGGCCCTTCTTGTGCACTCGTTAATGGGACCGTTTAGAGCTGCCTTTATTTGGTCGGTCCATCGTAACGGTGATCTGCCGCGCGGTCTTATACCCTCTATCATGCCCTTGATTAATGTATAGTCTGTTAAAAATATTGCACTCTTATTTTAATCTGTGGACTTTTCGGCGGGAACGCGAGGAGTGAAGTTGTGTGATTTGTTCTATTTTGTCTATTTAGTGTTTCTTCAGGTTTAAATATGTGAAAGTGCAAAAATATGGGAAAATGAAACAAAGCCGCTGAACGTAACTTCTCGGTATCCTCCAAAAAGTCCACTAAAAACTTTCAGTAAATGACCACTATTTTATTGAGATTATATTTATCCCGTATCATCTCATTTCATCTCAGTTGATTAATGTCTCAAATTAATCATCTTCGTTTCATTTCATTTCACTCCATATTATCATTTTTCATAAAAATAAGAATATAAATTAAAATAAGCCATGACTTAAAAGTCTTACTTACCAGATCATAAAATCCTTTAAAAAAAAGAAATCAATCATAGAATATACACTTGTCATTTGTCAACAATGTCAACAGTTGCGGCATTACCTACATACTTTTGTATTATCTAAAACATTAGTGTAAAGAAAAATAGCAGAATGAATACAAATTTAATAATTAAAGTGATTAAAACAAATGGTGATGTATGCCCGGATCTTCTATACAACAATCCTCTATTGGATAAAACAGTGACGAGAGCACTTTCCAAGAATTTCGTTAATATCTTAAACGTATCAAGGGATAATTCGAACTTTAATAAAAATTTGAGACATTCGTTGCTGACATACATTCGTAACGTATGCCAAGTTCAACCAAAGGAACATATTAAGACCGATGAAAATGTTATGAATTTAGTCAATGACGTTTACTTAAGAGCCCTAGAAAGTAAGTCACAAAATTTAAAAGAAACTGATAAATGTCTAGATATTTTTTTGATTAAGGAAATGAAATCTATGGGTATAAATTCAATTTTCGACTGTGATAATGCTGATATGGAAGTGATCCAAGCTCTGATGAACTTGAATGAACATAGTACAAAAATAGAATTCATTTATGAGCATATATTACATTGGAATCTTACCGATAAGAACTTAAAAGTTCTAAATAAATTGTGGAATGAAGATTGTTCAAGTAAAGACTGGATTTTAGACAGTATATCAATTAAAATTAAATCCACAATTGAAAGGATTTTACTGAATAAATGTCATGAAATTATATCACAATCAAATTCAATCAATTTAGATAAAATATTTGAGGACACAGATTTGAATGATCTAGGAAGAAAATGTTCAAAATCCCCACACTGTTTTCAAATATGTTATGGGATTCTGAATTCTGTTTTTATGAAGACAAATTTCAATTTACAATTAGCTAAATTTATAAATTGCTTTATATTGAACATTAAACATAATTGCTTAATTACAGTATCATCTCTTTATCACAAGCATTTAAGACATATAGTCATAATTTTAGATACTGACCTTAACAAGTTGCCTTGTGGATTACAAGAAAGGTATTCAGACTTTGGTCTTAAATATCTGATGGAGTTACATGACCAATCAGAAGATGAGCTAATAATGTTATTATCACATTACCCAAGATGGTTTGAAATTTATACAAATACATTAAAACAATTAGATAGTGGTTTATGAATTACTGTTTTTAATTAACATCACAAAATTATAAGAGCCTATCTTTTTACATATGTAACACACTTTGTTTTATTGAATGGGTAAAATAAAATAAAAAATATTTATAAATCTTTATTTAAAAAAATTCTACCTCCATTATGAATACTTTAATCGCACAATATTCTTATATAAATTAAAACTCAGATTGCAAGGCTTTTAAAACCACTTAAAAGTATGTTAGTATCAAAGATGAGCATCTTTATGACAAAACTATTACAGGCTTTAACTTCAAGTTTTTTTTTTGTTTTTTTTATTGCCTTTGTAGGCAGACGAGCATACAGCCCACCTGATGGTAAGTGGTCACCGTCGCTCATGGACGTCAGCAATGCCAGGGGCAGAGCCAAGCCGCTGAAAAAAGTTTCAAAATATGTATATCAAAACAATTACAGTCTTCATGATCTATATGCCCATGGCCTAGAATCTTTTCTCATTACTATTTTACAAAATAATAAGAATTGAACTTTAATCGAATATTAATAATAACACTTCAAGAAAATAAGATCAAATTTAGAATAGTATTAAATGATGTGTTTTCCATAAACTGACTTCATAATTTGAATATATAAATTATCTATATTAGAGCTTATAGCGAGTTGTTCAGAATAAGCAGGGACTCCATATTTCTTGAGGAAAATTATCAATAGATTGGCAATATTGCATTCTCGTATTTTTGCCAGGTGACTAAAAGATGTGATGTGCCTCTTCAAAATATTTATGAATGGAAATGTTAAATTGCAACAACCACAGTGATACAAGTTTGGTCTGATCTGAAATGTAAATTTTGTTATAGGTTTTTTCACATTAATTTAGGATATGCTTTGCACATGCAATTTGATTTAGAAATATTATAACCTTTGAACAAAAAACTTGTATTATGTATTGTATTATAGAGAAATTAATAATATAAGGGCTTTCCTTGCTATTACTAGAGGTCTAAAATATATGTTCAGAAATTTATATAAACAGTTACCTACCTCTCTTACAAAATTGTTATCTTCATGAAGGATTACTGTACTAGACATGACATTTTTCTTATGCTCTTCTGTTCTACAATGTAGGTATTCAGTACCCAATGCCATAGACACATCACATGCATAACATTTGGTCTTTTTATAATGAGGACCATGTTCAATCTTGTTCATCAGCATAAAACTGTCATTCTTCACACTGATGCTTGTATTTATGTAAAATGACTTTAAATCTTTGTAATACAGCATAAATTTTATAAATTTGTTCAAAGTAGGGTACTTATTATCTGATTTTTTTGTGCTTTTGTGGTTTTTTATTTCTAAATGGCCAGTATGTATTGCACCCTCAACGTGAGATTTGAATACTTTTAAGTGTGCTGACAAAAATGCACTGCAAAGAACGCAAAATCCTTTGCTACCACCTGCATTTAATTTGATAGAATGTTCCCTTCCATATGCTGCCAGTTCAGACCTAAGTTTTCCGTGGTCAATTACTTGCCGTTCAGTATCAGCTATCTGTATAAGGTTCATTTGACTTGCTTCATAATTATGTCTCTGCATGTGGTTAAAGAATACCTCAAAATCATAAGGTATTTCTTCATTGCAAACTTCACACATCACAGACGATTCCTCTTCAACAATATCGCCTAAATTTGATTTTACTCTGGGTGCTTTATTTGCTTGGGCTATTAAATTCAATAGTTTTCTTCCAGTGGTTTTACACTTATTAGTTACAGTTGCAACAGTTTTTTCTGGTTTGCAACAGTAGTGTTCAAAAAATGTTTCAGGATTAAATAATTGGTTGCACATGAAACAATGATAGCATTCCAAATTTACCTATAAATATTAATTATCAATTGTAAACTCATTTTTGTAAAACTATGTACCATGCGTAATCACTAATCACACAGATTTGAATGATCTAGGAAGAAAATTCCAAATTTACCTATAAATATTAATTATCAATTGTACACTTATTTTTGTAAAACTATGTACCATGCGTAATCACTAATCACGCTTCAAAATACAAATTGAAATTTTAATAATAAAATTTATGGTTACTAAAACTGATGGTATAATACAACCTGATTGATTTTATTTATTTTTTAACCAAACAATTTTTTTTATGAATAGGCTACAGTGTTAATCTTCATAATTGTTGTATACTGCTGAACATTAGTGCACTGCAGGTTTTTCCCAATGAGTCCCAAGTAGAACAAACTAAAACTGTATTTGTTTTTGTTTTGTATTCAGAAAGTTCTTAGAAAAAAATCCCAGTAATTTCTTTATCGAAAACATTTATTTCTGCTTACCTTCCTATAGCCCTGTTCATTTTGAAAATCAACTTCAGTTTCAATCAGTTTAACAATATGGTCAGGTAGTGTACAATGTTTGATCATATCATCATCTAAAGTAACATCACAAATCACACATTTGTTATTTACAATTCCATTCCAAATATATTCTGATATTTTTTTATCTTTTAAAACAACTCTACCAATCGCATAGTATCCTTTTGGTTTTTCTTTTATAATATCAGGATTCAATTTGTTATTTCTGTGTGCTTCTTTATTAATATGGTCTGGAATATCTTTAATGTCCATTATTGTTGAATTACAGACTTCACAATAGTAGTAATTGGGAACCTATAATTTTAACAAAAGTTAGTTCTATTTCAAATATTTACATGTGTTGCTACCAAATTACCCACCTTGCCACTGCAATACATTTAAACACCAAGAGAGATGCAAGTCAAGAGTACAATTCGTATTGGCATTTATTGTTCTTGCTGCTTAGCAATAAGTGGGTATTGCAAAAAAAAACAATAAAATTAAGAAATCTCAATACAGTACTAATTTATTTATTGCTATACATGGTGTGTGCAATAAACACTAAAGATAAATTTTATCTTATCTTATCTTTTAACTTAAAACTCAAATACCTTTGAAATGTAGTCTTTTTTAAATTTATGCAGATATGTTTGGGTTTTTAGTATCTTCCTGTGCTTCTCCCATCTCAAATGTTTGTCAACATCTGTAATGGAATTAAAAGTTTCTTTGCACAGTAGACAATGAAAATCTACTATTCCACACAAAATATAATTCTTGAAATATTTAGAAGAACTCATTATGAACTAAACTCTGAAATAAAAAAGGGGGTACTTATGGCGTTGTTAACCTTGTAATTAATTGGGAACAAAATTGAACAAATATTCAGTTTTCTGTACATACATTTTTTACTATCATGAATAATTCTTTGATTAAATCTAGATACTTTTAAACAAAAACTATGTAGTAACTTTGAAAAGTTTACTTTGCAAATTATTCCTTTCCATACCTACAATTAACGTTACACACCTCTATGAACGCGTATTCTTCCAAAATTGAATAATAGTGCATATGTTTCGTATATCACTGCAAACTTTAACCGAATACTTTTATAAATCTAAACGTCGACGATCTAACGTCTATGTATCAATACCCAACAACAATAAAATAATTTAAAAATAGCGGTATGTACGGTACCTACATACAAACATACATACATATCTTTTTTTTAAGGGATTTTATGACCTGGTAACTAAGATCTTTAAGTCATGTCTTATTTTAATTTATATTCATATTTTTATGAAAAATTATATTATGGAGTGAAATGAAATGAAGATGATTAATTTGAGACACTAATCAACTGAGATGAAATTAAATGAAATGAATTGAGATGAAATATTATCTCAGTAAAATGGTTGTCATTTACTAAGATTTTTTCAGTGGACTTTTTGGAGGATCCCGAGAAGTTGCGTCCAGCGGCTTTGTTTCATTTTCCCACATTTGTGCACTTTCATAGATTCTAAACAGTTAATTAACCACCGTTATTACACATTTAAACCTGAAGAAACACTAAATAGGCAAAATAAAACAAATCGCACAACTTCACACCTCGTGTTCCCGCCAAAAAATTCAGAAGTAATAGACCTTTTTTTTTCTTCAATATGGCGATCAAACTTCATTCGGAAGCTTATTTTAGCCAGAGTCGAGTAAGCCAAAGGCGATATCAGTAACTTCATCTTGAAGTGTCGAGTTGCCATGATATTTGTTCGCGACGGACATTGATAGTTTAATAGATAAATAGTTAAATAGAGATATGTTCGCAAAGTACAGCGAGATTTAATAGATAAATAGTTAAAATAGAAAATATAGTCATAGGTTGGCTGTAAAATAATAGAAATGTCCGTAACAAATAAATAGATAATATGTTAAAAATAGGTTAACATAAATAGAGAACAGAAATAAGTAATTTGTAAATATTTGTTTGTAAATAAAGATTGGTCCTCGTGGTCTTTAATTTGGCGTGGGAACGCAGGAGCGAGTCACAATACGGGCAACTAATAGAGCGACTAGGCAAACAATAGGCGAGCGAGGCGGCCGAGAGAACAATAGACGCCCACCGTGCTCGGACTCATAATAGCGCTGGCCGAGTGCGTGTGGGCGACCATAAATAGGGGGCCTACCTCGCTGCAAATTCAGTTCGAGACAGCGAGCCGACGAGTCCAGACCTCTCCAAAGAAGAGGAGAGCGCCAACCGAAGAAGAAAAGACTCGCTCCTACGCCCTGCGCCGGTCAAGCCACGAGGACCGTGTGAACGCCATACTTGAAGCCTTCGTTATTTTCCTCGAACCAATCCCAGCACCCGTTCCGCGACAGCCACTGCGGCAATACTCGAGCCACCACGTTT